CTTTAAAATAAAAACTTCTGTGTGTGATAAGTCCTGCGATGAGAACTTTGTACCATATCAAATTAATGGATTTATTTGCAAGAGGAAATTGAAATAATATTAAAAAATTCTTTGTTATTGAATGATATTAAATGTAATGCATAGAGAATAGAGTAATACGGAGAGCTTAACATGTTTAAAAAAATATTTAATTATTGTTAATGGATTAAAGCCACAAGTTTTGTGGTTTTGAGAATAACCCTTACTATTATTGTAGTTCAGGACATTCAAAAAGGTCACATACATACTTAATTATAATTAATTATATTATAATTAAATTACATACTTAAAAATAGCTGAAAATGATTTTATAATGTATATTGTTGCTGAGTCACTATTCTCTTTTACTGCTGATATTAACTATATTATTTTAACAGCATATTTAATGTATATATGCGTGCAAGTACATATATGAATGTAAGTAAATATCCAGATTATCTTCAGTAGTATATATATTATTTTTTGTTTAATTCTTAGAAGGATTTGATACCAATTAAACTTTGGACAAATTTAATTTATTTTAATTCATTTTTAATGTTTCATTTAATTACTTTAGAAAATGGTTCAGAAAATTGAACTTTACTATATATATTAAATTTAACTCTAAGAATACTAAAGTGTACAATTAAATGAAATACTTAAAAGGACTTTATAACAAAAAAAAAAAAAAATAATATTAATAATTAATATTTTTATGCGACTGACCTTCACCGTAATAATCAATCCAAGTCTACAGTTGGAAAGTTCAGTACACTATGATGACTACATAAATTAAATACACATGACAGAAAATCTTGTGATAATCATTTAAATTGCTTCTTGACTTTGTATTATAAAATTATCTTCACATATTTTTTTAGTATATCTTATTGTGGCTGATATGTATAATATGGGGAAAAAATAAATGTATACTTGACATTCAATTTTACAGATATGCGTTCATTTTATTCCTCAGAATAATATATACAAGAATATAAAAAATATAAAATTCTAAAAATTTCAACTGAAAATAGCAAATAATTAAAAAGAAAATCCAAGTTATATTGACAATAAACGCAAAAAGTCTCTGACGCGTGTTAAAAATGTGATAAAATGTGAAAATCCTAAGAGTGAAAATGAAAGTTCAACAAATTTTGGGGGAAAATTTGTTTGTCGCTATAAAAAAAAAAAAAAATTGCAATAAATTGGCAAATGAAAAGCTTTTCAGATATAATTAAATTAAATGCAAAGGTGAATGTAGAGAAGGAAAAGCTTTTGATTTTCATAATAGAATAAAATTCTGTCGTCAAGGGAATTGGCAACATAAAAAGAAAAAATAAATTATTTCCAAATTACATTGTATCTTTTGTTATATACGTACTACTCTTGGTTTTCAATTTACACATTATAACAAAATTATTTTTGTGATACTACGACTTTCTTATTAAAAAATAAAAAATAAAAAAATTAAACAAAATAAAACAAAAGATACATAAATTTTAATTATTATATAAAAGTAAGTAACACAATTGAAAACTTCTCGTTTCACTGAGATACAAAGAAGGATCTTTGCCAAAATTAATTACAAGTTAAGTAAGAAAACCGAAATACATCATTTAATAAACGAGTACATTGTAAGGTAAAATAATACGAACGCATTTCATAATGGGCGTGAGGGTTTACTTGAGATAAAAGTACATACAACAAGTAACAAAATGAACGTAATTTAATTTAGTGTAGGAAGACATGAACTTTACTATACATAAATGTAAAATACAATAAAAAAATTTTTCATAGAAAAATTTAAAAGGCAAATAAACAAAAGAAAATAATAACATAAGTAATATATTAATGAAATAAAAATAATAAAAATTTAATAAATATAAGAAAATATGAATAAAAAAACATATAAAAAAACATAAATAAAAAAAACACATAAATAAAAAAAAACACATAAATAAAAAAAAAACATAAATAAAAAACAACACATAAATAAAAAAGAACATATATATAAAAAAATACATATAAATAAAAAAAACATATAAATAAAAAAAAACATAAAAATAAAAAAAAAACAAAAATAAAAAAAAACATAAAAATAAAAAAAAAACAAAAATAAAAAAAAACATATAAATAAAAAAAAACATATAAATAAAAAAAAACATATAAATAAAAAAAAAACATATAAATAAAAAAAAAAACATAAATAAAAACATATAAATAAAAAAAAACATAAATAAAAACATATAAATAAAAAAAAAACATAAATAAAAACATATAAATAAAAAAAAAACATATAAATAAAAAAAAAA